TGGCGTGATGGGTCCATTCAAGAAGCTACTTCGTAATCTTTGGTTCGAGGAAACGCCGATGAATACAGCAGCGGAGAAACGAATGGCCATGATCAAGCACTCAATTGTGGCATGGGACAAAATTTCGCCAGAAGCCGTCAAGAGTGCATTCAAGAAGGCAATTCCAAAACCCGAAATTGTCGTGGTGTAGGTTTATAGGGAATGCATGTGTGGTTAGGGTTGTTTCTCAGCAGGAGAACATGAAATTTCTCAAATCTCAAATGTCAGACCCTCATACTGAGGTTTAGCGCTTCTGATTGGTGCACATAAATTCTCCTGATTATAGCCAATCAACTTGAACTAAGCCGCGTAATTTAATAAATTCGATTTTATTCCGCTTCCATGCATTTCAGGATGAAAGCATGTCGGCTTTTTCCGGGGTTCACTGTATTGCCACCACTTTATTTTCAGATTTATTCAATTCGAACATTTGAAGAAATCGCATCAAGTTTTGTCAAACGGTTGATCGATTTCCGTCTGGAGGTAGTAGCAAAAAAGCTCTGCCCATTTTTGGAATCGAACTTTTCCGTATTTGAATACTTGACGTTTCGAATTGACGATAATTCGTCGTGTTTCCCACGTAAGTATGGCAAGTTGAAGTCAACATGTGTCAAAGCATCATTACTGAAATGTCGGATGATTATTCATGAAGCTCCCCGCATCTCAAGAGACAAGTTCCGGTCGTTGCAGTCGTCGTGGTGGGTTTCGCCACGCAAGACACGCGGACATCCATGGCCCCGATTGCGGCCATCAGGATGGAGTTGGTTGTGGCAGCAACGTCGACGTGGGAATGTGTTTGCGTTTGCCTCCCCTGGCGCACGGGCGAGTCGTCTCGAAGCATGGGAAAGACCCTACGGCTCGTAAAACAACGTCCGCAATTTGTCGGTGTGATTACAGAAACACCACGGGTGGGCGCGCTCGCCCTGTAAGACGGATCCACTCGACCTTGGCCCTTCTTGCACAGAGATGACCGCCCCACGACATCGGTCCTAAGTCGTCGTGGAGGATGGCTCTACATCTAGAATGAATCGTGGTCAGCGCGTTGGTGGCTTTGTCAAACCGTCCTCGGGTTCTTTGACTAGACCCGACGCGGGACGTATCTGTAGAGGACCCGTGGCGATAGACGTCATCTGCACACACGTCTTTGTCGGAGGGGATCCCTCGGATTACATCGCACGACTTGGGTGCGATCCCGGTCGTTTCAAAGGTTCTATCACTCGAATAGAGACACCAGATAGTCATGACAAGTTGGTCAACCCATATGCAATGGCTGACACTCCGCCTCACCAACCAACCATGTCAGTGTATGCTTCTGTGGCAAGAAAGCGGCTCTCTACTGCATGCACCTATCGGCCTTGTCCCACCGATCCTGGCCCACGTGTCGCCTCCAGGGGATGGACGATACAGTGTCTCGCCATAACAACTCTTGCCAGCCGCGATCCTGACAATGCCATTACGATGACATGTCACGAAGAGACATGGCATTCCCCCGCTGCCCTTATGACGCTCTGAGGTACAATGCTATCCTGAGGGCGCCCCCGCTCTTCACGCGCCATTTCAGTGCCCCCAAGTAAAGATCGTATGGGCATTGCTACCACCTGCGCCACACATGCTTTTCTGACCAGCCAAGGGGGTCGAGGGTCGACTGCTGGACGATCGAAAAGTGTCTGTGCTTTTGACAAGATACGACAATTGGCACGGGTCCAAACCAACCCCACATCCGCGCCACATGGTGGCCGTGCTCAGGCTCGGGGTTCGAGCTCCCACTGCACTGTTCAATTTCCTTTGTGCACTTCACACCAAGCAACATGACGTCCTGCTTCTTCAACGGATGCGCCAACCTCGTTGCTCCCCACTCGACCAAGTGCTTGTTCCACCACCATCGCGGCATTTGCCTCGTTGACGCCTGCCACAACCAAGTGTACGCTCGCAGCCTGTGTGTCCGCCACGGCGGCAAGCGCCAATGCCAGTTCGACGGCTGCACGCTCAACTCGCGCGTCGGCAACTTTTGCACCAAGCACGGACCCACGGACGCCGTCCGCCGATGCTCCCACGACGGGTGTTCGAGCCAGGCCCACTTGCGCGGCAAGTGCTTTCGCCATGGCGGGTCGCGATTTTGCAAAGTCGATGGATGTGTCACGTATGCCCGGAACCGCGGGTTCTGCGCCCGCCACACCCCCAAGGGCCCCACCGCGAAGCCAGACCACCCCGTCAAAATCGAACAAGTGGAAGTGAATCGCGTGGAAACCACGGATATGATGCTTGCACCGTTCACGAAATCGTGTTGGATGCAGCAGGCTCTGCTGCACGTTGAGCCCATCATGGAGGTCGAGCAGGCACACACCGACTGGTGGCATTCCCAACTCACGTCCATGCAAGGGTGGGGAGAAGTCATCCAATTGCTGGAGGATTGAGTGGAGGGGCCAGCGTACCGCTGCGATGAACTCCGCACGCGACTAATTTATCCCTATTTACTGAACGTCTCTTCACCAAACACTTGCAACCAAGCGACCTAAGGACAACGGTTCATGCATTTCGCGCATGCAAGTTCGTCGATGGCGACGAAAACAGTTTGGTTCACGTACAAGAATCGTCCATGCAAACGGGGGGGGGCATCCCTCGCTGTACGAGCTAGTCAGGAACTAACTGTAAATACTATTATTGGCAATCTAATCGTTTGGATATCAACACCGCGTCTAGTCGGCGAGGGAAGAGGCAGGGGCCACCGTTGCGCTGCCTTGAAATGTTTCGGGTCCGAGGCACAACTATGGATCCTGACGCGAAAATGGGCGACTTGGGCCTCACTACCGCCTTTCCCCCTTTGGCACCCTTTTACAAGGACGTGCCCCATATCTTGCGCACCCAGGTACAAAGAACAGGAACTGGAACTTCATTTTCTTAACGCGAATGGGCGCGTTCACGGCCATGCAACGAGCGTCGCGCGCTTGATGTCGGACGTGATACTCTTTTCCAGCATCAAGTCGAGAACTCTGTCGAGGTCTTCTGCAGTGAACAACCACTCGTTGGCGACCAACGGCGCGAGCTTGGGTCGAAATGTGGACGGGGTTTCTTGGAGCTCGAGTTGAACGAGGTGTGCGATGTCGGCTTTCGACAGTGTGCCCAATTCTCCCTGTGGTGCGTCGATGGGAATGGGGCTGGGCGTGTGGCGGGCACACAGCCCTCGATTCCGCGCGTAGGTGACACATCCCTCCACCGCGCAAACTCGCGCCCCGCCGTGGCGAAAGCACCGTCGTTTCCAGTGGGCCTGCTTGTCGCAACCTGGATGGGAGCACGTCCGGATCAAGTGGGTCGGGCTGTGCTTGGTGCAAAAGCTGCCGACGCGGGCATTGACCGTACAATCGACGGCGCGGCACTTCTTCTTGCCACCGTGGCGCACGCACCGCCCCCGGGCATACACTTGGTTGTGGCACGCCTCGGCCGAACATTGTCCCCGGTGGACGTGAAACAAGCACTTGAACGAGTGTGGCATCGCGTCATTGGTGCATCCGTTGAACACACACGTGCACATTGTTGCGGGAAATGAAAAATGAACGGCCGAGAAAGATCTCGAATGTCGGGCCAGTTGCGCATGCTTGACGTCGTTGTCAGCACGGCACGGGGGAACTCGCAGCACACGAGCAACGTCTGAGTCCGTCCAAAGCTTGGTGGTACTGTGCTGACCACACCGGAATCGACGGTCTCGTTGGGGGTACAGGAAGATCTCGGATGTGCATGTGCCTCCTACACCACCACCACACGGAGCCACCCAGACTCTCGTCAAGACCTGCCATTCTCGGTACCAAGGCGGGGTGGACCTTTGCCAAAGGGGACGCTGTGTGCGTTCGACCAGTTTGACCGCGCTGGTCACTTTCAATCGTTTGTATGTCGCCCGTGCCAATCTGTCGTCTACGAATGCATCCACTGTGAAAAGTTGGGGTGATCGGTGGAGCTGAACGATACACGCCTGTCGAGATGGTAGGAGATACCATGACGGCGTCAGTCGGCGGGTGTGGTGGTGGTGGTGTCGCAGTGCGGCGTAACTCGACGAAGAATCACGACAGGGGGTATGCGGCGACTTCCCGCCATGGATGCGGCACCGATGCTAGAGAGTGCATACGCGCTGACCTGACTGCCAACGGGATGCTCAACTCCAACCCGCGGTGCGCAGATGCATTCGGTGGTCGCATCGTCTCCAGGAATTCACTCGGTGGTTCGCAAACCATGCCATCATGGCCTCAGCACGTTGAACTTTGGTCGACATGTCCCTTGCGCGCAAACAACGCCATCGTGGCTGTATTCCATTACTGCCGCCGAGTCGAGAGTGGGCAGTTGATTGCGTTATGGTATGGTCCGTCAACTCGCTGATTGGTTGGGGGCCGCTTCCGCGCACACCAAAATCACTGTTGCGACGTGTTGGTTGGACTGAGTCGCGCTAACGATCGGAGGGTGACCCCCCCTGCTACAAATCACCTTTAGACAAGACGATGCCGCGCACGTTCCACCAGCGCAGTTGATGGGTTTCGTGGTCAGGTTCTGCAGCGTGGGCCGGGACAACGGACTGCATCGATCGACACCCCATCGAGCAGACCAGCATCCGCGCTTGATCTCCGCCCGTCGTTCGCCGTTTTGGGCTGGCTACGAAGAACCTTCTGGTAATTGCACGTCCATTCAATGGCATGTCGCGCCCGGCGTTGGTGGCAATGAGCGCAGCATGGTGAACTGTGACATGTACCGGCTACCAAGCGAGGGAATCCGTTTCGTAGGGCGTGGGGGATGGAGGCATGAAAGAACGGGAATGCTGCCGTGGGCATGGCTGCACAAAGCATGCAACCGTGTTCGTGCAGCACGTGGACGCGGTCATCGCTCTATGAATCACGAGTCTTCCACGTGTGCGCCACGCAAATTCGACACGGCCGTGGCTAGGACCCTCGTCTACGCAAATTCCCCATCTCAAGTTGACCATACGTATGTCTGGCCAATTTTCCAATAGCGGCAGGTGTGACATGCTGGTCGCCATGTGGAGGTCTGGTTGGTTTGGCTACGAGCTGGTTTCATCCATTTGGGAATCTGCACCGTTTGCGAACGACGAACGGCGATGGTGCTAGCGATCTTTCAACGGCGGCCCCGACACCATGCTTCAGTCGAGGGAGGCGAGCTCACGTTGGGAGACATTTTGTCGCCGTCCGCCTGGGTTGACAAGAAGGATCGCATGGGGTGCGCGGACTGCGGGCTCAAGTTTAACAACCTCTTCCGCCGACGCCACCACTGCCGGCTCTGCGGCGACTTGTTTTGCAAGTCGTGCGTCGTGCAGAAGCGCCTGGAATCGTATTCGTCGCAGCTCCACGACGTGGCGACGGCGCCAACCATCAAGATCTGCCGCGGCTGCGCCTACAACCACGATAGCAACTCGCCGACTCTAACGGGGTCTGGCGCGTCCGCCACCATGATGTCCATGTTCCATCGGCGCTCTTTGACCAAGCAATCGGCGACCAAGCGCCACGTAAAGGACCAACTGAGCAAATCCTGTCGCGGCCGCCTCGTCACGGCTCCGTTCGCGAAGACGACAGACACACATGTCCACCCTCTTGTCGTCCCCACTGCAGAAAGCCAAGCACAAGCCGACGAGCGGCGCCGTGTTCGAGCAGTCAAGAAACTCAACGCCGCCACGATCGACAACCTTACCATCCTCTGCGACACGTGCGCCGCGTTCGAGTTGTGTCCCATGGCGTACGTGACTTTGATCGACGACACGACTCAGCACATCAAAGCAAGTGTTGGGTTTGGTGCGTTGGCATCCAAGGCCCGCGGTGATGCCGACCTGTGTGACTGGGTGGTGACCACTGCCGAACCGTTGGTTGTGTTGGATGCAGCCCAAGATCTTCGCTTCCGCCACACGTCGTTGGTCGTGGATTGGTCTATCCGATTCTATGCTGGCGTGCCGTTGGTCGATGACAAGGGCTGGGTAGTCGGCACACTTGCCATCATGGACACAGTCCCTCACACGTCGTGCGATGTGCTGCCGCTGAAAGCCATGGCGTCTGGAGCGCTCCTTGCCTTGTGTGACCTTCGGGTTCCGACCGAAGGTGGAAGCCACGATTCCGCCACGAATCTGCACTCCATGCCCCGACCTCATGTCTTGCTAGCGACCCCGACCACCCTTTCGCCGCGATCGGCCACCAATTCACCAAGTCCCCGACGACGCTCTCCCACTGCATGCTCCCCCTTCGACGGCATGGACGCGTCGTTGAGTAGCCGCATGCTGAACGTTCTCAACACGTCGACGAACACCCAACTGCAGTTGGCGCAGCAACAAGGTCATCTGGCACACACCATGTCGAACCACTCTGACATGATCAGCCGGTTAGCGCTTGCGATCGAGCGCATGGAGTCCAAACTCGCCTCGCCTCTCAACCTCCGCGACTCGTCAACTCCAACCGAAGGAGCATGACCACGTTATACTAATAAGAGTCCTATTTATTGCGCCTCATTATGGCCGCCTTAGCCTCCAAAGGCAGCCCACTCCGTTCCTTTCAAGCCGATGCCTTACTCGAACGGAGCTGGCGCAGAACATCATGCATGTTCTCACTGTCAAGGGAGGTGCAGTAGTGGTTTTATCTGGACCTCATGTCGCAGAGAAGGCCGACTCCATCCACAATTTGATTTGTGTCATGTCACATAACAGCCCTAATGGTCTAGTGGTATGATTCCTGCTTTGGGTGCAGGAGGTCCCGGTTTCGATCACCGGTTGGGGCCACTCTTTTCCAACCTTTTAGAATCATGGTCAGTGGCCACACCTGCTATTGCACAGCTTTGCATCGGTCTTGTTGGGCGTGGCATGTGATCAGGATCTTTTTGCTCGAACCGTTTTCGTCTGTGAAAATTCAATGCACTCACTTGTGTGCTGTGTTCCAAAGTGGACATGCCAACGACTTGTGTACTGATTTCCCTCGCTAACTGTAAGTCAAACCTTTAATTCTGTGCAATTATATTGGTAAAATTTGTTGCATCGACTTCGAAAACAAATTAATTGAAATTCATTGCAGACACGTTTGATATGAACATGGACAAGTCTTTGTCCAAAATGCCAGTGCGATTCCAGCAGTTGACAACGGTCGACTGCGACACAGATCGCCACGGGTCCTTTGCCCACCCCATCGCGTCAACAAGAGGTACATCGTACAAGTGCGTTTGACGTCCTTGCATGACGTTGTTGATTTGGTCCAGGGCGTTTTGCAGTTGTCTCTGCTTCAGCTTCGCCTTGAACGCATGCGTATACTATCCAAAAAGCACGAGCAAGTTCGTTTTTCCCGCCAAACGCCTACCTTTCATCAGTTCACTGAAGATGCGCCATGATCGTACTCGCGTTTATTCTGCGGACGGTTCTGCACTCAGCCATGTCGACGACGGAAACGAAATGGAAACACTGCTCCTTGCCTATACATCACAAATACAAACCCCACCACACTTCTAGTAAACGGTACGGTAGTAATCCACTAGACCAACTTACACGGGGCGACACACTCGTTCGCGAGGTTCACCATTGCTTCTGTCGGTCGCCACAACATCGAGGTGGTTACGATTCAAACGAACGCGGGCGACACCCAGCGCACGCATTGATTGAGGTTGACGTTACCTCACGCTCCTTCGGGCGACATCCATGATGGATTGATTCGATACCCCCAGTGACCAGACAACCTGTCTTCGTCATGAAAGTCGTAAAAGGGTTTTTCGGAGGACTCGATTCTAGTCATGTTCGATAGGCGCATGGGGATGCTGTTTTGACCTTTGGCTCGAGCATAGAGTTCATAAAATAGGGGATTCGTATTACGGGTGGACGGGGGGACGCAAATAGGACGGGCAACTGAAATCGTCGAGCTTGATGGCTTCGTCGATCACGTGGAATACCGACGTCCACTCTAGCAATGGGCCAGGGTACTCGTCTGTGAATTTGGGAGTTGTTTGCTGCAGGAGGAGATCCAAAATGGCGTCGTCGACGCTTCCACAATTGCTGCTCGCATTGTCCTCGTCGCTCTCGCTCGGTTTGAGCTTGGACGGAGTATGCCGAATGCAAAATGGTCGGCCTCGTGCGTGGGACGAGCATCCTGCAACCGAACACCGCCGGCCTCCGCCGTGACGGACACACTTGCCGTGCAAATGCGCATGCTTGTCACATCCGAGTTCGGAGCAAAGCTTGATCGATGTCGGGGGCCCATGCTTGACACAATAGCGTCCGAGGCGGCGATTCATGCCACACCCGTCTACGTCGCATAGTTTCTTTCCCCCATGTCGCACGCACCGACCACGCGCATAAACCTGATTGCGGCACTTGGCCACGGAGCAGCGGAACCTGTGGAAGTGAAACATGCATTTCCACGATCCGAGGACGGCGTCGTTCGTGCAGCCATTGAAAAAACATTTGGCCAAATTGCGCATGGGAGATGTCGAAAGTCCGTGGAGGATTTGAAAATGCTGCGAGACCGACCCGGTCGAATCTGCCGGTGCGTACGCGGGAATGACGTACACTTCCGGCCCGCAGATGCACATTGAAACACCCTTCGATGCCGTCGTTGCCTAAGTACAGCGCAGGTGGAATCCACCCCGAAATCCGAGAAACGCAACCCAGATAAGTCAATTCGAACGTGTCCATGTGGTTCGACAACGGATTTTGAACTTCATTCTGGATCGTGCCGTCACCCTGCCACGATACCGCGACGAACTCCCCTTTCACACGTGGATGCCCCGCTCGACTCCCCTACACACCGCCAATTGACCGCTGCAGCGCTGATGCTGCATGGCTTCCCTTGTCTTGAGCCCGTTGACTGGAGGCAATCTGATGGCCGTCCTCCACCGCGATTTCCTGGGTTGCGTGTAATTGGCCTCGTCACGCCGACATGCGTCAAAGTTTTTCTGCCAGCCACACCAGTTGCTCCGCACCACCCACTATGATGACCTCAAAACCTTCTGGGTAACTGGTCCCTCGATGCGGATTGGATGCAGTCGGAGAGTCGACCAACGGGCGAACGGCAGAGTCACGCCGGAACGGTCTCGGGCCGCTCTCGGTTGAAAACCACTGGAAAATCCACTGAAAATGTTGAAAAAAGTAATACGCTGCCACCTGGCGCTGCCGTGTAAAATATAAGCAAGCATTTATCGATGGTTTGCACATGCTCTGCCCCGTGAACATGCAAATGATAGGTGCATCCCACCAACACCACGTACGCAAGTGTTGTCAAAGCGCTTGACAAAGAATCGGGACAGCTATCCCTCGCCAAGCGAAGCAAGGCCGAAGATCACCCATTGTCGGTCCACAACGTTGAATTCTGATATGGCCTGGCGTACGAATGCGCTGTCGCCCTTGGAGGACGGACTGGTTCGAAGTGCACATGGATTTGACGATAGGTGTGGTCACCGCGAGAACAATCGCAAATCTTCCGAAAAGCACGCGTTCAAATTTAAACCGATTGCCGCTGTGGTTGTTGGCTCGTGACAAGTTCAAGTCGAATTTGGAAGGAAGTGGTTTCAAAAAAGAGTGGATTGCGTTCCTGGAGAGGAGGTTGCATTAGAAGGAAACACATTCACCATGACCACATACGGGAATGGCAGAGGGGCACCACGCAAACCATCGAAGTCGAAGCATGCCGTTCCTGGATTCAACAATGAATTTTCCCGTCAGGAAATCATTATTTCAATGGATTTTCAAGTCGCTGGGCCCGTTCATGTGGTATTCTGAACTTCACCTTCGTATTTATCCGCGAATGCATTCGAAACAAAGCCCCAACGTCGAACTTCCACCGCGTCAAACATCGGCCCATGACGACTTTCACGACAAAAAAATTGATGACGTCGGTTTGCCTGTGCCCTGCCAGCATATTTTCTACATTGTATTCGACGGTAGAACCGATTTGCGTCACCATGTACGCCAGATGAGGTAAATGCATGGAGGAATTCCTTCCGTCAATGCTTCACAAGAACTCAAGGCGGTGGAATGCTTCGCTGGCGTTGAAGTTGAGCACCTCACACGCTTTGTCATTTGTGATAGTCCAGACCTTCCAACATAACACCAGAGGTCGGGGGCATCGTACATTTTTGTTGTATATATTTGTTGTCCTATCTGTCCATATACAGGTCCTATAGTGTAATGGTTAGCACCTAAGACTCTGAATCTTGTATTCCGGGTTCGAGTCCCGGTAGGACCTTCTTTTTCCCACTCATTCAAACTTTTCGGCTTCACCATTTTAATGACCAGACCGAGGCATCATGCAGGCGCTGCGGAGATGACTCTGCTCAGACGGGGTGTCTTTGACCTTGTTGCCCTTAATGCATCTCTTTACTGTGAGAATAAGTATGTATTCAAACATGGTGTGATCAGCAAGTGGCGAACGATGCTATACCACGAGGGCGGAGCTGCTGACAGTGGCGAGCCAAGCGCAGGAGACAAAGCCGTTTGCGGGTACGTTAAAAGTGAAGCTGAAGAATAACTCTTTGTTAAATAACCACTGGAACCGCTAAGGCAGCCACTGCAAATGCAACAGATGAAAATGACGTTGTTGCACCGACAAGCTTGGCCGACGTCAACCGACTCGCAGTCATGGAATTGCCCGTTCCATCCGTCGCACACTTGAGCGCCTTGAGTTGAGCTGGTCCGCGTTGAACGTGCCGACTTTTCTAGGATGGCGCATCATGCGTTGATGGCTGCTCCAAGTAGTCGCCCAATGTCGCCTCTCCTTCCTACATGTGCTTCATGCTCCGAATCTTGAGTTCTGCGAGCTGTAGAGTCTCAGGAGGGCAGTTCATGTGTATTGTTACATAGATTCATGCAAATGCAAGCATTTGTCGACATGGCCTCACGGGCGGCGAGATCTGGCTTGTACTGCGAGCACGTAATTCGCCCAGTGCGGTACACTCAGTATTCCCGTCGGTGCATTCAATGTGCTAGTTACCTCTACTACCCCTGCGTACCCCAGGGCTTCACACCTCCATGAAGCATTTTCGTGTACGATGTCGTGTAAACAACCAAGGCCCATGGCGCTGATGCGGAGCGAGGACGCCAAGGCAAGATGAGTCTGTGAACAAGTGCGGCAATCTATTGAGCCATGAAAGTTGGGGGGGTTTTCACGTTGAACATCATCGTTCGAAATACCCACTTGCTTCGTGCATGCGGTGTGCAGTGGACTTGTCGGGGCAAGTCCAAGCAACCCCCTTGTCCGATGTCCCCCACGCCCAGCCACATTCCATCCCGTCCGATTTCATCTCGGCCACTGCCAAACGAGTGCTCAGAGCTCCATACTCACACGTCACTCGTATGGAAGTGGGCTGCGTGAACTGCAGTCGACGTGCCTCGAGGCAAACTCAAAACCACGAAACGGACGAATCAAACGCGTTCGCTCGGGAAAATTGCGATTTGATTGGCTAGAATACAATCGAACGACATGACCCGGCGTTGGCGCTTTGCACGAACGACGGTCGTGGCGATTCACACGACCCTTGCGACCATCACCCAGACTCGACATCGTTCGAAGCGTCGGTGGTTTCGCGTGAGCGGCGCCATACTTGTATTCCATCCCTGTGGTGGACGAAATGGCGGCGGCGGCTCGTTGTTCACCCCCCCCCCGAGGCCAGCCGACGGTCCAGTTGGTTTCTCCACGCTCCACCCAGCTCTCTCCCGGTAGGATGGGCATACGTCCCTCTCCGTGGTTGTGCGCTGTACCGCCATTACAGGGCGACACGCCGCGGTTGGCCCCCCAGAACTTGTCCTCGCTCTTGTTGTTGTGGTTCGTCCAAAATGTAGCCAATCCAATGCCGCGATGAGGTTGCCATTACCAACACTCCTAGAAATTCACTGGAAAATTGAATGCAATCGAAGGGGGAACGTTCGGAGAATGCTCTGGTGGTCGCGTCGAACGTTGACCACGAACGGGTCATTTTCAAATTTGCGCCCAGCCCCGCACACGATCGAGATAACGATGCGAATGACCTGGACCTGCGCTCAAACACTCTGTCCTGTGCCGTCTCCTGTCGCGGGCGCTGCGTCTTTGCGACAGCGATAGGCCCGTGGACAAGTCCGCAACACGGACCCGTTCATTGACCTGAAGACCCCCGGCAGCAAGTGATGCCCGCCACCCTTTGTGCACGGCACGCCATCCAAGAAAGAAATACTGCAACCTTTTTGAATCCTTGATCGCAACATGCCAAGGACGACGACGACACAAGAGTTTTCAACCATCCCTACCTTCCCTCGAACGAAACATATTTGGTTCACTCCAAATATTCCTGTAAAGTCTCTGGCCATCGCGCAAGCCACTTGCTTTACAGGAATCTTTGGAACGTTCTCCGCGACTCCTCTCGAACCCAGTCCACAAGTTTGGCCTCGCACCGTCGATCCCTTAACTCGATGAATATGCCAATGGAGCCATAAATCTTGCGTTCACTTCAACTCTTCTTCACCAGTGTCCAGTTCAGTGCTTTTGACGACTGAGTTGGATCCACACAGTTGGGCCTAGCATGTTCTTGTCGTCCAGCAGGGATATCGCCGGAGAGATCCTGCCATCCGTTCCTGAAATTTGCTCATCCTCATAGTCGTGTATCGCGGAGGAACAGAGCGACGTCGCGCCGTCAGGAAGCGCTCAAGCTAAGTTGGATTGCCTCCATGGAAATGCCCAAGGACCGTACGGATTGGATTATATTTCTTGGTCTGTATAAAACATGGATATCAAATGAGTACCTGACTAACCGAAATATCATATTTTATGACTTAATGTGACTGGGTACGTTACAGTGCGGTATAATGTGTTGCATTTTTGAATTAATGAACTGGGTTGCAGTGGAAAGTTTAGAATTTTTTGAAAGTGGATACAGAATAACTTGGAATAGGAGAAAACATGAGCTATTCTCAAATTGATTCGACCAATCACAGGGCGGTTTGCGACTTCCTTCTCGCACATTGCGGAGAATTGTGGTGCTCGTCATCTCGCATCGATCGCCGACGACGAGCAGGCATGGGTGGCACGATCTCTCGCGTGTGGACTAAGCTGTTTGGCAAGATTGAGGCTCGTTTGATCATGATCGGGCTGGACGGGGCGGGAAAGACGACTCTGCTGCATCAGTTCCAGCTCGGCGAAGCGGTCACAACAACGCCCACGATTGGGTTTAACGTGGAGGCGGTCGAGTGCAAGAACATCAAGCTAAACGTGTGGGATCTCTCCGGCCACGAGAAGATACGATGTGTGTGGCGAACGATGTGTCCAAATACACAGGGCGTCGTGTTTGTCGTCGACTCGACTGACATCGCCCGCATCGACTCGGCCCGCGAAGAGCTGCATCAAATGCTGTGGGAAGAGCACCTGCGCGATGCAATTGTGCTCGTGTTTGCCAATAAACAGGATTTCCCAGGAGCGTTGGATGCCACCGCAATCAGCGCGAAAATGGGGCTGGACCGACTCCGACAAGTTTGGCACTTGCAGGTTGGTAGTGCCGCGACCGGCGACGGCGTCGAGGCAGCCTTGGACTGGCTCGTCAAGGCCGTGCGACACCATCCCAAGTTTCGATAAGCACGTGCATGCCACTGAAGCAGTGTGCATGTAATATAAAATTTATACCATGCTCAACTGATGCCAAACTCGTGAAATTCACCTCACAAGAGTCCCTCTGAGGCTCGTTCATGCTTCAACTGCCACGGAATGGTTAACCAGACGAAAATGCGATGAGTGGCCGTGACAGGTTGGACTCACAATCCGACATTGCTTTCAGAAACGAGTGACGGATGCATTTGTGATTGCATATTCCCACCATTTCATGTCCTTGAAGTCATCGTGGTCACAGTGCCGTGAATGTCCAGCACGAGGTAACACAACAATTCTTCTTCTAATGGACGGCTAGGGCAACAGGACGAATTGTAGCTCGTTGGGCCAGCTCCGCCGCAAGCCTCCATCGGCATGCAGTAGCCCTTCAACAAAAACTGTGGCGGATCGCATGCCGCATGACGTCGCTGGCTCGACTGAACCGGCAATCACTCGATATTGGACGACATGCTTCAGAGAGCCCTCGTAAACCCGACGTTGTTGTGCACTTCAAACCGTCAAAATATGGCCATCGATCGATCGGTGAAAACGACGACGAACAATTACGACCTGGAAGCCACTTGCGCAGGATGCAGAAAACGAGCAAACGACGCGCCAGGTTGACGGAGACACTCGTCAAACTCGCGAGAGGTCCACATTCGCTGTACCAACTGACCCCCACCCATCAAAGCACACGGACCTTTACAACTCGAGCTACCTTGTGAACGACGTTCGATCGTTACCTGTTACTAGCGAGGCAGTGTTTGCCTCACACTATTCTCTTGCCACGACCACGGAGTTGGTGCGTGAATCCTGACGGGACCGCTGTCTCTCGCAGCCCGACCACACTCTCGCAAATTTTCGTTTCGATTTGACTCCACCGCACCAACTTCGGGGAGGTCATGATGGCATGGCGACCAAGATATCTATCCACACGACCAAACACGTTGCGAACGGCGAAATTGTCGCCATCGGAGCAGAGCACAGCATGTTGTGTCGATATCAAACGTGCTGCTCTCGACCCACGCACACCCAGGAACACTCTCAGATGCCTGGCTGCCCACCACCTTGCCAAAATGGACCATTTCGTTGAAAACCGCCGTCGTGGGGTCGTTTTGCAACGGCCACTCCTGTCATGCCACGTGGGCATGAATCGTACACGGAGTGGCATTGGCACTGGACGCAGTAGTTGGGGAATTCAATCCAACTTGGCCAGCGGCGACGCGTGAACGACAGCAGTCGGGGTCGAGCATGTCCCGGTGGGTTGGATGGGTCTTTGGCTTGAAGCGCGACGTACGCCTGCTCATGGTCGGGCTGGACGCCGGTGGGAAGACCACCATCTTGTACAAGCTCAAACTCGGCGAAGTCGTGACCACGATTGCCACGATTGGATTCAACGTCGAGACGGTCAAGTACAAGGAGCTTGAATTTACGGTGTGGGACATTGGTGTTGGGAGCAAAGGGCGCGGTTTGTGGCAGCACTACTACTCCAATACGCACGCGCTCGTGTACGTGGTCGACGCGAACGATCGAGATCGCATGGCTGAGGCCAAGTCCGAGCTCCACAACGCGCTGGCACACGAAGCGTTGAAAAACGTATGGGTGCTCGTCTTTGCCAACAAGCAAGACCTCCCCACAGCGATGACCACGGACGCCGTTGCTGCCACGATGGACATGCACAAGTTGCCGCACAAGCGATGGCACGTACAAGGGGCGTGCGCAACGAAAGGCGTCGGGCTGTACGAGGGGCTCGATTTTGTGGTCAAATCTGTACTCGAACCTGCAACTGCACTGAACCAAGGCTAACGGCACTAAAGTCAATACATGTCCCGTTTGAGAGTGCATGGGCGTTGTCCGTGCTCCAGTCATCATGCCAGAAGCCAACTCTTGCCGGACGTCGTCAATGGAACAAGCGGACGTTCGTCCACGAGCGCAGGAAGAACCCAGTCGGGCACATTCGTCGAGCTATCGTCCGAAAGGTTTTGAACTGACACGTTGTGTGAAAGGTGGATCTCGTATTCATCGTGTGATTTGACGAGTCATGCCGTGAGGCAGTGGCTGTGCATGGCCTCCATGCAGCGCCACATTCCATTTATAGGACGATGGAGAGCGGCACTTGACTGTGAGTTGCCAGGATATGCCAGACATAAACACATTTACAGCATCGCTGCGAGCCGGCCAACGAGGTCGCGCCATGGAACGTCGGTGGCCCTCTGCGCCTCCGGCGAAGCTGGGACGCAGCAACCCATGTGCAATGCCACAAGATCTACCTTTACTCACGAATGCCGCCGAAAGACGATCTGCATTCGTCGGCAACGCAGGGTCGCCACGATCGAGTACTTTCAACGTTGACGACGGATGGCAGCACCAGCGTCGACGGTGCTTCGATCACCGGAGCTAGCCACGCTGGTTTTCACCTTCCAAAACGGACTAACACACGACCTGTTAACGTTTCGGCGCCTCGTCACTCCGTCTGAATGGACTTTCGTCCTGCAAGACGTGGCCGATACAGGTCGAGACGATGCCATCGTGTCGCTTTGTCGGCTCGTCCACGATCGGCTCACACCATGGTTGTTGGCCCAGTATGGATTTCATCGGCTGTCGCATTTGACCGCCATATGCGTGTCTACGCCACAGTCGTGCCAACCGCGGCGTCGTTTGGTGGACACCTCGACCTCCTCCGCGAGTGCCACTCGAATCCTGCATTACACAACGACATGATCCTTCCCCTGGGCACCATTGCCCCCGAGCTCAGTTTGGACTTGGCGGCAGGACAAGGTCACATCGACGTGGTTCGTTTTCTGGAGCACGAGCACGGCAAGGCAAGGCAACTCGTCGTGCCATGGACTGGGCTGCTCAATATGGCCACTTGGCCATGGTGCAATACTTGCATGCCTCTCGCACCGAAGGCTGCACGAAACAAGCGATGAACTTTGCCGCGTGCAATGGCCACCTGGACGTTGTTCGCTTTCTGCATGAGAACCGTCGCGAGGGATGTTCGAGGTTTGCCATGAACAGCGCGGCCGAGTTTGGCCATGTCGATGTCGTTTCGTTTTTGCTGCAGCACCGACGTGAAGGATGCAGCCGGCAAGCCATGGACAAGGCCGCTCGGAATGGACATTTGGCCGTCGTCCAGCTCCTGCACACGTATGGAACGGTCGGTTGTTCGACACAGGCCATGGACGGCGCTGCTCGCAATGGACACATGGAGATTGTTCAGTTTCTGCACGAGCACCGCGCGGAAGGATGTACCGCGTGGGCTGTCAACCTGGCTGCCCAGAATGGCCACTTGGACATTGTCCAGTTCTTACGCACGAACCGGAGATGTGCACGACGTGGGTCATGGACGAAGCTGCCTCGAATGGTCACTTGGACATCGTCAAGTACTTGCACTGCCACGTTCCTCGGAGCGACTTATGGGGGGGGCTGCACAACGGAAGCGATGGACGGCGCCGCCGCGAACGGCCATTTTGACGTTGTGAAGTATCTGCACACGCACCTGATCGAAGGCTGCACTTCGTTTGCCCTTGACAGAGCCAGGCGCAGGGGCCACACTCAAATTGTCGACTACCTCGTCAACCACCGCGCCGTGTTAGGACTAGCGGACGATGAACGGCATCCAAATTGAGCATCGAATCACACACCAAGAAAACTCGAATCGACGTGATGTCAACGAAAGGATCTATTCGAACTCATTTTGGGCATGCCGTCGCGACGATGGCCATTCTAGGTAAGACCTGTCTGTGATTGAGCTTCCCAGTGAGGGAGTACACTTTGAACGAACGCAACGAGCACCACCGGCTGGCTCCCAGTCTTGCGAAGCTCTCGAACGTTATGCTTTCGCTGCATATCTATCTTTTGCCGGCACGTTATGTCGTCGCCCATCCTTGGCGACAACCTTCACATGCTGTTGGTGTCCTTGGAACCTATCTAAGCACCTCGCTGGAAGACGTTGCGACGAAGCAGCTTTGCAGGGTCAGGAAGGTACGGTCAAGGCGATCATAAGGGTACACGTTGAATGCCTCATGTACGTGCAGCACCAACTCGTCGATCGACCAGGTTGTTGACCGTCCAGCCTGACGCGACGGCACGTCGCCACTGGTGCAGAAGTCCGTACAAAGTCTCGGTTCTGCATTTCGATTGGCTGATTTGGTGGCCTGCCTGGTCAAAACAAAAAAATGTAGGAGTCCTCTATACAAATATCCATATATTTAAAAACAGGTGGGCCATCAAGAGTTTAATATTTTGGAAGGTCGGTGTCATTCCGTTGAGAGAATTCCTCACTGCCTCCGTCGGCCACGTTGCGACCCGCCACCACGATGGAAGAAGACAGAGTGATTCAAGCTGTTGAGGCAATGTATGCGTCCACGTCGACAGGCCAGACACGTAGTGCCGCCGATGCGTTCCTTCGTTCCTTCCAGTCGAGTCCGAGCGCGTTCGCAGTCAGTTGCGCGTTCTTGGCGGCCGGGACCCGCGCCAACGCAGTCGTCCAGAAATTTGCCGCCCAAACCATCAGCCACTTGACGCTGACACCGGCCGAAGTGTCGCAGCTGTCGTCGCTGTTTGCCCTGCACCACCACGAACGCGACATCGTCCGCCTCCTCGGGACGGCGCTGGTGCGCAACATGGAAGCCGGCCAGGGCCTAGACTGGCTCATTCAAGGTCCATGGGATGCCGACGTCCGTATTTCACTCCTCACACTGGCTGCCGTCGAAAGCGTGGCGTATACTGAAGCGCAGAACGTCATAGTGTATCTTGGCAGCACTGGCGCCACGTCCAAAGACACGTTGCTATGCATGGCCGAGTGGGTCAAGCTCCTCGACCGCGACGCGCGCCATCCAGGTATCCTTTCCATGCATCCATTCACGCCAGCTGACGTGCAGCTGTGATCGTATAGATCTTGTGATTCAGAACCCGCTGACCACGAACGCAATTCACGTCCTGAAGCGCGGCCTCGACGACACGTCCGAATTGTTTGACGCAGCCGTCGACCTGATTGTGGAAGTCATTCGAACGTACAACTCGACCTTGGTCGATCTCCCCGTCATTCAATGGCTCATTCCACAGCTCATGCAGCTCAAGCCGTTGCTCACGTCTGCCGTGGCTCAAGGTACGTGGTGTAGATGAGAGGTCGTTCGGTGGGCTACTGCCAAGGGCGTCGATCTTTTGTGTGAAATTGGGCTGGCGTGAAACGTGTCGCATTGTCCTGTTCGGACATGCGGCGAGTCGGCGTATCATGCCACGGCATCCTGTGCCCTCGTGGTGACAGCACTGTCGCCCACGGCAGGACTGGGCACAACGAAAACGGAGTTGGCAAGCTCATGCGTTGTCGGCCTTCGGCAATACCCACCACCCACACCTAGCTCCACTCAATTGGGTGGCTGCCGTGCAGCAACGACACTGTTTGGCACGAATAGGACGTTGCGACCATTGCAAGTGGCATCGGCGGAGGATGAACAATCGATCGCTCTCTCGCGACGACCGATGCCACCCTCGTTGTCGATGCTCGCTAGCTGCATGATATATCGTGGTGGTGTTTCTACATGGTCTGCCCGCCTCGACGTGCGAGACATGGGCAATCTCTGGCTGCGCCTTGCCTTGTGGAGGATGTCCCAACTCCTCTCTTTTTGTAGATCACGCAGAGTGCTGCATGGGCCTCACGAGAGTGTTCACGGAAATGGCCGAAGTGTACTTGGACATTTTGCTGGGCGATTCCCCGATGAATCAAGTGATGATGGTGGATACGCTGCTGGAATGCATGACGTTTCCCGACGCCGACGGTACGACCAGTTGTGGAGTCGTGGCTGTGGCATGCCGACCCTGTCGACGTCGTCATGCGCGGGGGTGTTTGTGTGTTTTCTAGTGGCCGAAGTTACGATCCCGTTCTGGTTTGCGTTCACGGAAGCAGTGCGGTTCACCCAAGACGCGGCGCAAAAGCAAACGTTGCTCGCGAATTTTGCGCCGAGTTTGACCAACTTGACGCGCATTTGCATGCACACGATGTGTTTTCGCGACGGATTTCTCCACCTACCTACCGACAAGAAACAAGGTCGGTCGTCGGGCGGACAGAGGACAGTGTGTGACGACGGTTGTGCCTAGATTTCAAGAACTTTCGAAAGGAACTCGGCGACATTTTGCAGGATTGCTGCGTCCTCCTCGGCACCGAATCCGTGCTCAACCACTGTGTCCAAGGCCTCCACTCTATCCTCAACCAACGTGATGTACGCCACGACGACGTTGGAGTTTAGTGGAATGGGTGTGTCTTGGGTTGGCGTTGTTCTCGATTGAAACTCGCACGTTGCTTTCAAGCGCAGTCAGCGGGCACCGACCCCGACGTGGGCAGTCGACGCATGACGGGGGGGGTGTCCTGACCAGCGCATGGCTTGAATTGGTTGCGTCGCTTGAAGCACCGCCATGTCCTCTGCCTGTCATGTATTTGTCCGAGGTAAATCGTTGCCGGTTGGGTGTAGGCTGCGCCGGAAACGCACTGGGAATCGATTGAAGCACACCTGTACAGTTTTCGGTCCATCGCCCGCCAAGTGGAGGCCCAGCTGCAAGGTTTGGTGCCTTCTCGTCCTGGTGGCGGGCACAGCCTTGACTGCGTGTTGCAGGGCCGTCCAAGGACCCGAATGCCGCGAAGCGCCCGCCTCTCGATGAAACCCCCCTGCACACAATCTTTTCGTTCCTGCCCCAATTTCCAGCCCACCCGGCCATCCAGTACACGTCGTGCCTCGTCATTTCCCGGTATGCGGAATGGCTGGCTGGCAACGGCGCGGCCTACCTCCCAGCCTTGCTCCGCTTTGTCGATGCGACGATCACAACCTCCACCGCGCGACGCGACTACCAGGACTGGTATGCCTGCTCTTGTACTTGTCGTTTTTACGATTCCGTCAACGTCACGATGGTGCATGGCAGGCAAGTGCCGACGGCGGTGGCGGCAGCGCTGCGAGGACTGTGCATGGACTGCTGGCCGCACGTTGGTCGAGACTTGATGCAGTACTATGGCCAACTCCAAGCGAGCGACACGTTGCACGTAGACGACCAAGTGATTCTCCTTGAAGGTATTTGCAAGGGTGTGTCGGTGGGCGAACCGGCGTTGGTCGTACCTGCGCTGGAGACTCTCGTGGCTCCAATTGTCCATCGCATGAATGCAACGTTGGCGGCGGCCCAGCCATCCGCAGCCGGCATCCTGAAAGATCTCTTGCGGCTCATGTGCATTTTCGACCACACGACGTCGACGAACCATGGAACCGACCACCCTTTGGTCGCGCTGTCGGGGCAGCTCTTTCCGCTCTTCCAACAGGTATTTTTTCGCTCACTCTCGTCCGTTCGTTCGAGGAATCAACTCGACTTTGGATGGCCTGGTGTCCAACCAACTGCATGCACGGTTTTGAATGAATTAGTGTGTGATGGAGTGGCTGGTGTCTGGGGCTGCGTTCATTCAACTGCTCGTTTCTTCCCGTCTCACCCATTGGAACATATTGCGACTGACCTGTCGATGCATAGACGCTGCATGTGTTTGGGACCAACACGGATGTTGTGGAGCGATGCTGCCGCTGCTTCAAGCGCATGCTGCGGATTCCTGCGATGGTCGTGATGGTGCCGAGCCTGGCGCAGTTGCTGGTGCAGTGCTATTCGGCGGCGCCGCAGTCGTCGTATTTGTACTGTGCCAACCAAGTTGTCAAGCACTTTGGGACGAGCAACTCGGCGACGGATTTGCGCTCGATCTTCGACACGCTCTTCACGCAGCTCAGTCAAGCAACGTTTGTCGTGCTCAACCAGAGCTTGGTGGACCACCCCGACGTTGTCGAAGAATACTTTTACATGGTCGAACGCTACGTCCGGTCGTTGCCCGAGATCACGGTGCCGCTGCTGCCGTCTATTCTGCAGGTACTCGACGCTGTCGACGGGAGAATGCATGGAGGGCTGATACGAGGACTCGCGCAGGGGTCGCTCCTGGGCCTCCAGCTACAGCACAACGACGCCACGAAAGGCGTCCTGTCGTGCCTGCAGTTGATGTTCCAGCAACTCACCAAGCACGCAACGGACGCTACGGCGCCAACCCAAGCGTACACGGTAAGAAGGAGCACGGAGGGGCATGTTGATGACCGATTGGCAATCGCTCCCGTTTTCATTTGAAAGTGGAGAGGAGGTATCTGTGCACGCCTGTGGAGGGTGCACATTTTCCTTGCCTGACTATGCCTGTCCTGCATGCGAATCATGCGGAGTTGATAGCAGGGTTTTTCGCTGATGTACTTGATTGGTTAGGTGACGGTGGAAGCATGGCTCGCAGCGCAGGGGCCGCAGTTGGTTCGGACGGTCTTGGGCGGAGTCATGGGCCATTTACCGCCAACCCGCGTCGACGCGGACTATGGGTCGTGTGCGGGCGTGCTCGTGTGTTTGGCGCAGTTGAGTGGGGCTCCATTGCGGGTGCGTTTCCGTTGACTCGCTGGGTGAAAACCCCCGTTCGCTGCCTCTACGAGTGTTCACGGTACACATTGTCGTGGGTGCTGTAGGAATGGATGGAATCGGCGCTGACGACGTCGACGGCAGATCTGGCCATGTTTGGTACGCTGGACGCCACGGGCCGACTGCCTCGTGAAGACAAGGCTCAGTTTATCCAAGGACTGTTCAGTGCTCCCGACGAATCGTCGTTTCGCCGCACGGTGCGGCACTTTTCCAAGTTGTGTCGGCAGCGCGCCGTGGTTGTCTAGTTCGCTGGTCGACAACATCCATCTGTAACAAAGACAACTGCACCGTTGTTGAATATTTCCTTCGCTATTAGGAGACGTGGCGGATATACAAGGAACTGGTCTGCGCCGTGTCCAACAGAATCGGGTGGACGTCAGGCAAAATGTCTGAGCGAACTCATAGCTCTGCGCGTTGGGACTGGCAGCGATGCACGCGTTCATTAGATTTGCAAGTAGACTAAGGCTGAGTTGATGGAAAATTCAATAGTGACAATGTAATAAGGTAATGCATCGAAATCCCGAACATTTTTTGCCGAAATTTGACCTCTGTTTTCTACTTCGTCTCCTGAATAAACTATGTTGTTGCGTAAAACGGAAAGTACCCCACGAAAATATAATTCAACGTCGATTTTTGGTATCACTTTGTGTAACATTTGACGACTTTTGAGATTTGTACTCAAGTTATCATCTCTCCAGTCAAGCGCACATGAAAACTTCAAGGTTTCACTATCGCGGACACTTCCAAGTCTTGAGTTCAGTATGTGAACAAAATAATTTACAAAAAAAGAGACCAAAATATAATCACTGTATTTAAATTCAAGGTGTCGACAAAAGTCATTTTATTACAAATATAATGAAAGGATAATAAAAAATATCGGATCACGTCTTTCGCATTACTGGCTGGACCGAGGAGGCATGCAGAGCGTCGCGGGTGCGCCAATTCTGTTCTATCGACACCCTCTTGCGCCCAGCTCTTTTCGGTGGCAAGGTAAGAACGACTTCCCTTGAATACTCCACTGTCTTCAACCAAACTTCATAATCCAGCGGCCCCTCCACACAATTGGTCTTTGCAGCGGCTAATCGACGCAGCATGCATGGAAGCGACAAAGGCCAAATACCACAGGTACGGAAACCGTTCACCACTGCTTGGTTAGTTTTCTTCACATCATCAAGCTGAGGAAAAACAGCGTTGAAGGCGTTCCCGGCAATTGCAATGGCCGTCTCTCGAGGTAACAATGTCGAGTTCATGGCCAGCAAACGTTCAGTAACCCCATAGGCAATTTTGCGCTTGAACGTTCGGAACAGGGCCACATCCAAAGGTTGCAATAGGTGCGTGACGTTCGGTGGGAGTCGCACCAAGCAGATCCCGTATGCCTCACAGATGGAGACGCTGTTGACCGAAAGGTGAGATGAGCAGTTGTCCAACACAAGCACCGCTGGACGAGCGCCACGTTTGTGCAGCTTCCATTCACCAAAGCATTCTAACCAGCCGTCAAATAGGTCGGAGTTCATGAAAGCTTTCGGCGACGCTGAGATCATTGCGTTCGGTACAGGGCAATTGTCCAGGACACCAGTCTGACACGATGCTCCAGGGAGAATAAACGCAGGAGGCACTGGGGTCCCATCGGCAGCTACCGCAGCGACGATCGTAAAATGGTAGGAGTTGTTGTGATCACTCTTCCAAACATCCTTTGAGCCACGGATTGCAACGACGGTTTTGTTCTTTCCCTTTGTCTGAAAGCTGGTCTCATCAACGTTGTAGATGTCGCCGGCTGTACAAGTAAAACCGAGGCAAGCCTTCACGAGGTCAAAGAAGTATCTTCTGACACTCTCACGAGACACTGCGTTGCGTGGATTGCTTAACTTCTGGGCCACCCGAGCTGACAGATCAGCATGCCGCTTTTCGACTCGAGCGTACGTACCAGCCACGTCCAACGGAGCGCGGAACGCCGAACAGGTGCGACAGTACTTGATTCGCCTTGATGCTGATTTCATAGCGCTCAACAGGCCGGCCAGCGCGTTGCATTGCAGCGATCCACGACACCAAGTCTTGTTCCAACTGGTTTAGCATGACCGGTTTTAGTCCTTGTTAGCCGATCGTATTTGAACCAGTTGTAGTCTTCATTTTCATGTACTTATATATCGTTGTACGTTTCAATGGCGAACTACGAGCTACGCCTTGAACACTCTCGCCTTGTTCGATGCGACTCAGCGCGCGATGTCGTCAAGCGTTGGCACCTTTGACGAGAAAAACACGTTTTGGGATGATTTTGAGCCTTATTTGAAGAGAATTGAGTAAGAATTGACTAAGTTATGGCCATTTTACGTTTTGGTGGTAGCGAATGATAATTTTATTGATCATTGTGATTATAATTGTGTTGAAATTGGCGAAGTCGCCCTGAAGTGATGAATATTATCATAGCCAATAGAATTTGACCTGCTCCAAATAGAGACTCTTCATTGGATAAAACTCTGTCCGCGATATTGATGCAGTTCGGGATTTCGATGCGTTACCTTACAGGAGGTAACGACGGAAAAATTCACCCAGTGGTACTCGTTCATGTTTTAGGAATAATAATATGGACATGGCATTCTGAACACTCGAGCAAAATCCCAATATTTTAACCAATGGGTGACACTTTTGAACACATGATATGATTGAAGCACGATCGAATTACTGACTGTACTTGAGATATAGCCTTAGATTGTCCATTCACGACGGAACTTGAGTGCACATCTCTTTCAAGGGACCTTGTCTAATTTCCTATTCATATTCATCCAGCCCAATTCATCGATAAAGATTGATTGCAAGCAATCTTTTGTAAGAGATCCATTTTGGCCTAGCCGATAATGGAGTCGGGTGTCACCGCTGTGCCACGGGTTCGATTCCCCGAATCCCCAGTCTAAACCGACTGGTATCAAGCCTTGATTCCTCAAATAACGTAAGACTTCCCTACACAAGAAGCTAGGAATGATGGTTAGCCAGCAGCGAAAACATTGTGGGGAGAGAATTCTAAAAATAAGTATGCAATATATATGAAAATGTATACACTTTGATATCACAAAAAAATATCCCGCATACAAGGATTGAATGAATCCACAGCACTAATTCATGATTGGCTCGTTCAAATTTGCCGCTAGTGCTAACGTCTTCGCGCACGAGCATGGGGCAGTACACGAGGTACTCAATCACGGATCGCCGCAAGTACTTGGACATGTTCGGACCAAGCGTCGTGTCGCCTCGATCATACGCCAGGGCCATGGAATGGAGCACATGAAGGGGGTGGCTGATGAATCCACAGAACTATTCCATCATTTGCTCGTTCAAATTTGCCGCTAATACTAACGTCATTGCGCACGAGCATGGGGCAGTACACGAGGTACTCAATCACGGATCGCCGCAAGTACTTGGACATGTTCGGACCAAGCGTCGTGTCGCCTCGATCATACGCCAGGGCCATGGAATGGAGCACATGAAGGGGGTGGCTGATGAATCCACAGAACTATTCCATCATTTGCTCGTTCAAATTTGCCGCTAATACTAACGTCATTGCGCACGAGCATGGGGCAGTACACGAGGTACTCAATCACGGATCGCC